GGGGCTGTAAAGATTCATTGTTGCAAAGCAAGTTCCTTTGCTCCAACCTTTCTGGATTTAACTGTCTTGGAATTGTGTACTCCATAATACGACTAACAGCTCTCCCTTTGTTTACTCTATGTGGCTCAAAGTGCAGCATATTTGTTCACACAGAGAATATTTTCATTTAAAAATCCAGCAGACTTTCCAGTGGGAAGGAGGTTCCAACATAACTTTGATCCATTGGAGATTGTCCCCAAAGGGCATTTTCATTATCATTGCAAACTTACTCAAATCAGTACATTAAAGGTAGCTACATGGGATTTGAATGATGGATCTCATGTGAAACCTGCTCCACCCCCATGTGTGGCAAAGCATTCTTTAAATCACAAAACCCCATCTAAGATTAATCATCATTCTGTGAGGACAGTTGAATTGGAGTTAGAAGTTGAGTTGTATTATTGATGGGTTGAGATAATTTTATAATAATTTACCCCTTCTCCAAAAGTCCCTCCAAGAAAAGGCTTAGTCTGCTGGAATGAGAGAGAATCCCTTGCTAAGAAGCATCGTATTATACTTGATCAAGAGATCTCTATCAGCCACTTTCCAAGGATGCTCAACTTGGGGCTGATATCCCTGAAGCTTTTCACTGCTTGAAAGCGGGGTGTTACATGTTGTAGAGGCATTTACAGCTGATTTCAGGGAAGAAATGAGTAGTCATTAAGGAAAGATTACACTCTCCTGAGACAGAGGAAGGTGGCATGAGGAAAGAAAACCTTAAAATTAATTTCAAAAGCCCAATGTGGTCTAGTGTTTAACACAACAATTTATTTGCCAGGAGACTGGAGTTCTAGTCATACCTAAGAGCCATTTGGATTTCTTTGGGACAGATTCTAACTCTCAGACCAATCCACCTCATAAGTTTATGGTTGTGGAGAAAATAGGATAGGAAGAGAAATACCAGCCATATTCACTGCATTGAGGGTTTTTTTTAATAAACAATAATTAAAAACAGGATAAAAATCAAGTAAAATAAACCTACTTTGATTTTGTTTGATACAGGAGCACATCAAAAGAAACTTGGAATGTTTCTCCCTTATGACAATAAAGAATATTTTTGGAATCCCTGCTGTGCCTACTTTTTAACCTCACCTAACTTGATAACATTTTTCTCTAAGCTTGATTTAAAAAGAAAATATACCACAAAAGCTTAGGAGTCATGAGTAACGGCATCAGTACTCCAACCTTAATTCCAGCTGGGCTTGGTGATTCCATTCAGACAGATAACTGCTTACCTGCCCCGTATTATCTTAAAAAACAGCAACCCTGAGCCTCTGTTCCCTGTCATACCTGCCTGGTCCTTTTCCCAACGTTTCAGAGAAACAATCTCCTCAGAGAAAGGATGTCACAGCTTGCCAGCGTTCAGAAGCACCGGACTCCATCCTGTCTCAGGTGCAGTAATTAGCAGTTCCACTGCTTAGTGGAAAACTCCATCAGGCCAGTCGAACGTTCCCGTTCCCTGCAGCCTCCTGAGGATGTTAATGAAGGTGGCCTCAAGTAAAGAAAACACGGGGCTCGAGGTTTCGGTTGTATCAGGCATAGGGCGGCCCTAAGGTACAACGGGCCAGATTGATTTGTCTACACAGAGTTTTCAGACTGGGGTTTGAACAAAAGAACGGCATGTCAGGAAGCCAGTCTCCTGTGTTTCTCCTTCCTGCCCTGCCTCAGCATGCTCAGCTACTTAACTTCTCTGTGTTCTGGCTTTCCGAGCCCTTGAAGTTCTGTGTACTCTGTTTTTTTTCCTCTGGTACTTTGGTTGGTTTCTGTTATAATTAATTGGATACTTCTGTTTTTGACAGCATTCCAAAGCACTGAAAGGCATGTGCTTATCTCGGGGAACTGTTTAAGATTAATTCTGGCTGGGAATGAAAGTAATTCCCAGCATTGCAATAAAATAGGTTTTGCTTTTAAAACAAGTTTGTGTTTCATTGCGTTTGACGAAGCTTGGGTCAGAACAGAAATAACAATAGCACACAAACCACTTTCACTCTCAGACAAGAATTAACAACGATCCAAGATAGAACATGGAAGGAAAAAAGCACCATCTTAATATACAAAATCAACGGCAAAAATTTTAACCAGTTCTATGTTGGATAAACAGGACAATTAAAAGCCAGAATTCACGAGCACCACCTGACAGTCAAGCAACATGACCCAAAATCCTAGATCCAACCATGCTGACAGCAAATAACAATTCCTTTTCAACTGGGACAAAGTTGAAGTTGTCGGCCACACCAAAACCATCATATACACAAATCCATTGAAGCCTGGCACTGTACCAATGGATCCATCAACAAACACATTGACTTTGAACCAGCATATTAACCGATAAGGAAACAGATCACCTGAACCACCAATCAACGACAAAATTGACCACTTCCTCATGTCAGTGATTGATATCATGGATACTTTCTGGATGCCTTACACCTCACCTGTGAATTTCGTGCCCCAGAACAATCAGTCACATGAACAACTGAACACACAAGCAATTCATCACATGAACAACTGACCACAACACCAAACAGAGTGTGTGTTTCTTCCCTATGTAAGCAGAGAAGAAACCAAATGAGACATTTTATCCAAAACCCCGCTGAAGAAGTTATCTAGTATGGGAGCTAAACAAAAAGCTTGGGGAACAGACTACTGCCAAAACCTAAACTCAAGCTATAAATATTCTCAACAATTTCTAATAGAGTTTGTGTATGTGTGTATATATGTTTAAAGCAGAGATCCCTACTCCTTCTGGAAAGTGAGCTGCACAAGGGGTAGGCAAGCACAGGCAGCATCATTTGCACAAATGACACACACGTGCGCAAAACCATCCCCTCCCCCCTCCCATCCACCAAGCCAGAAAGGTTGGGGACCACTGGTTTACTACCGGTTCTGAATGGGGTTATCACAGTTTCCTGATCCAATGTTGCCCCTAGAAACCTGAGCAGCCTCTGTGACAAGAAATAAACATTCTTCATCAGTTTTGGCTGATAAACTAGTTCAGATTTTTCCTGCAGGTGGTGGCAACTCTTCTACTCTTCATCCTGCTGTGATTATGCTCCATGGTGTATTGTTTTCAAGGGCCTTGACATTTCAGTTGGTCAAAATAATGCTACAAGATTTTTTTAAGAGACTGAGCAATTTGCCATGCTCCTCCAGTGATATATTAGCTGCACAGAATGTTTGTGGGCTCCATTGCTCTTTGGAATTGAGACCAACATTTTAGAAATCTCACATCTCAATTTGCACCCTTAAAGCCTTCTCAGAGGTTGTTTTCAGGTGCTCCTGACAAATGAAGTAAAAAAAATATGTTTTCACTAAAAAAGGAAAATAGTCTTATAAAGTTAATTTTGTTATTTTGCCATCAAGTGATATTGCTTTATTACCCAGCCTTTTTAACATCTACTGTTTTCATTTTGTACTGTAAATGTTGTGAATTGTTAGTCACACACTGAGTTTTATTTTACTCCCTGTTACTTTTTTATGTTATAATTTATAATCATATTTATAGTTAAAAATATACACAGATACTGTATTGTGTATTTGGAAACCTGAAAATATTATTGAACATTTTACAGAGATGCAATAAATAAATGCGTACATGGGAAGGTAATCTTGGCTCCATACAAACATCATGTGAAGGTCCTACACATTG